GGATGGATGACCGCTATGTGGGACGGATGACCGCTATGTGGGACGGATGACGGCTATTGGGACGGGTGACCCCTATGTGGGGCGGATGACCGCTATGTTGGATGGATGACCGCTATGTGGGACGGATGACCGCTATGTGGGACGGATGACGGCTATTGGGACGGGTGCCCCCTATGTGGGGCGGATGACCGCTATGTGGGACGGATGACGGCTATACGAGGTGGATGGCTACTGTGTAGCCTCTGCTAAAGCCCCTGTTTCTCTGCTCCCTACTTCTATTGCAGGTGTACCTTGCTACGCGGACATATATCCATGACAACAGCAGGTCCATCGCATTTCTTTCCTCCATGTTTCGGCCTGATGAGGAAAACCAAGACAGACGTCAAACACCGTGCCCGATACATGTCGAGTCAATCATATAGCGGAAGTTTCTTGTATTTTTTATAATGTTATTGTATGGTAACTAACTGCATGCTACAACATCGACAGTAACGCATAACTGTCGACTCTACAAGATCCCGAGGTCTCAACACTCTTCTCAGTACAACAATATTGATTAACATATTTGACAACTGAGTACCAAGACTAATATTTTAAGGAGTAGGGAGAAACTCTTGAAGCACTTACAATGGCTTGTTGCACTGTCGCTTGCTCTTCTTAAACGTCACGCCTCCGGCCAGACAGGTGGCGTTGGCATCGCAATGTTTAACGACGGTCAGCTCGCTCCAGCCACCATCGACGGGAGCATTGGACCGCGTGGTGGCGCTAGTAGTCGGAGCCTGCGTGGTACTGCTAGGGTACACGGCGGCAGTGGTAGCGGCGGTGGAAGCCTGCGTGAAGAGCAAAGGTTAGTAAGCGATGCTGCGCAGACTACAGCAGTCAAGGTCATTTCAAGCACGTTCAAGATTAAAACTCATCGGAATACATGATGAGGTGTCGCATTAACGATATGCGTCTGACGTCATGCAAACGTTAGCATAACGTGGTTTATGTAATAGAGTCACTAATCATATCTATGTAATAATTGTTATATAATTATATATATATATATCAGCGAAAAGTGGCAATTGTTTTAGGGCTTGCCAACTCGGCCATATCGGAAATCTTGCGTAAGTGGCAGCAACCGCAAATAATGACGTCATCGCAAGCGGAAGCACACGGATTGCTCACGTCAGCATTTACGGCGTGCCGCAGACGGCAAAGTTTCGAGAGAAACGGACAAGGACGTTGTAACCTTGTTGTATGGAAGTTCGTCCCTGCGCGACCGTGTGCCGAGTTTATAGCCCTGATTTCATTCATGGAATATTTACGCAGGGGGCGTGCCTTGCGAACGGTTACTCGTTACTACGTACAAAGCTCTAACCAACGACTAGCAGAAATAACCGCAGTACTAGCAGAAATACTTAACGAAAACTACGCTCTGTTGTACTAGGTCTACACCCGTGCAGACGTAATAAAACATTATAATGATATGATTGGATTAGTGTCACACCCTTGACGTCCTACGGCGTCAAGTGTAACAGGATCAACTGGAATCGGGAAGAAGATGAAACACATTGAATTGAGATTAACAGGTGGTCGTCGCGCGGTGTGTTGGGTACGGTAAACGCTTTATTGTAACGATATTAAACTGGCGTAGGACGGACACATGGATTCCTTACATACCGACCTGTGATGTCTGTCTCTCTCTGTCTCTGTATCTGTCTCTCTCTCTCTCTCTCTCTCTCTCTGGTCTCTACTCTTCTCTCTCCTCTCTCTCTCCTCTTCTCTCTCTCTCTCTCTGTGTGTCTCTGTCTCACACACACGCGCGCGCACACACACACACGCACACAAACACACTTCCTCTCTCTCTCTCTCCCTATCTTACTCACTCATTCTTCCTCTTACTTTCTCTCTCTCTCTCACTCCCTCTCTCGCTCTTCCTTTCTTTCTATCCCCCTCTCTCTCTCTCTCTCTCTCTCTCTCTCTCTCTCTCTCTCTCTCTCTCTCTCTCTCTCTCTTTGTATCGCTCTCTTTCTCTCTCGACCCAGACGATGTTATGCGCGTGATATTTGATTAGTTCCAGGACACCTGCGTGACGTCAGAGAAACCTCATCTCATCACACTAATGGCTAACTGGTTCATGCACAGCGGACCTATCCGTCTTCAATGAGATCAATCCCCCCCCCTCACACACACACACGCGCGCGCGCCCGCCTACGGTTGGCCATCGTACTCAGAGAGAATTATTTTTGCCCTGGTAAAAATAATTTAACCGCGGTGAAATCATGCACCTTTGTACATAGAGCGAATGTTGCGTAATATCAAATCGCGTGTACAATGCGTAACCGCTGTAAAATTATATCTCTTTGTAAATACAGCGAAAGTTGCGTAATATCATATCGCGTATACAACCGGGGTAAAATTATACCCCTTTATAGATACAACGAAAGCTGCGTAATATCAAATTAATCGTATATACAAGGCATCGCAGAGAAGTTGATGGCCACGGAGACGTGCTATAGTCCGCGGGTCATGAGCTGTAGGTAGCGCTGGGATATGTCACAGGGATAATGGTCACGTAAAAAGTGACAATATAACCGCGGTTAAATTATGTGTAAGTATGCTTCTGTTGGCGAAAAGGGAGTATGGTTTTACCGTGGTTACTTGTTACCTTGTTTACGCGATTTGATATTACGCAACTTTCGCTGTATGTATAAAGAGATATCATTTTCACCGCGGTTAAACTAATTATTCTTGTCGCTGTAAAAATAATTATTTTTATCTCCATTTATTTCTATTGGAGTCTATTTCCAACCATATACGCCCACCTTGGATACTGTTCATATGTGAGGCTAGCTTAACCGGTATGCACGCGTGTTTCACGCGTACACGCTACATTGTCGACTGCGCAACGCCGTTGCTAAGGAACGTTTTTACAACGCCCCATCGCACCGCTGATTGGCTACAGCTGCCTGTCAATCATGCCAGCCGGTTAGAACCCGCTGCTAATATCCGATAGATTTCGATAGTAAACCAAGGGCTCATATGCGAAGATCGATAGTTTAAATATAACCATTATACTATTGTTGGAAAGAAACGCGGTCTGCACACGTTTAGCGTGTGTTAAAGTTGCGTTTTACAAACCAAATTGGGCAACTGGGCTATTAGATTAGCACTAAGAACACATCACAGACTCCAGCCCTCGCACAGCGATGAGGTCATCACTGCATTGTGTCGCTTTAGAAATGCCTTCTTGCCTTTATCCCTTCCCTTTCGAGCACTCGCTCTCTCTCTCCTCTCTCATTCTCATCTATCTAACTATTAATTTCCACCAATCGGGCGCAAATTAAATCACATCCTAAAATCTGGAAATCATCAACGTCGTCGTAGGTGTTTGGAACTTACTTTCGCCGCTCGCGTGGTTGAGCCGGTTGTAGTTGTCGTCGTCGTCGTCGTCGTCGGTGGCATCGTGGTCGTCGTCGTCGTCGTCGGTGGCGTCGGGGTCTTCGCGCACGCCCCCTGCATGCAGTGTCCGTCGCTGCATGACTTTCCATCTGGGAACTTCTTATCAATGACTCGATAGTAGCCGCCGCCTACCGCCACCTGGCAGCGAACCGAGCAGGATGTGCTTATGTCTGCGAAGCAACAAGAGAACATCGTTATAGTGACAGGTGCTGCTTACAACGCGCAAACCACATATTAACATGCAATAAACAATTGATGCATATAATGTGATGTGTGCGTGCGTGCGTGCGTGCGTGCGTGCGTGCGTGCGTGTGTGTGTGTGTGTGCGTGCGTGTGTGCGTGTG